AATGGTAATAAACATTTTACTCAAGTTATCTGTTCATCAACAGCTTTCTTGAGAAATATAAACTTTTTCATTAAATATGCACTTTTAAAACCTAACTGCTGCTGAAAGAGTTTGTTACAGAATAGTAGCATTACCAAATAATAAAAAGGGATTTATACCATATGATAAACCATAAAGCCATTGTAGCAAAAACATTCAAACTCTATGGTGAGCTTCTTACCCCCTATTTCCCACACATATTTCCCACACACCTAACCCATCACTTCCTACACTTCCCCCGACTCCCCAAATGCCAGGGCATCCTGGCAGCTTCATGAATCTTGCAGGATATGGTGTGAGTCACAACACACCTGACTAGAACACCGAGGGCCAGGTGAGCAGGGGCAGGACTGGTATTAGAGGAAAACTCACACTAATAAGAAACAAAATGCAACCACCACATTATGGGGAGCTTACGGGTGTAGAAAAAAGCATATGCCTGATATCTACAAGCGTAGAGACGAAGGCAGAGATGTGACTGAGAACAAAGCACGGTTATTACCAATAATCTTATTATACACTCGTTCACTGAATGTGACAGGCTACAGAATGTCTAGTTAGAAGAAGTGAAAACATTCCCCTTTTTTCACCTGCCTATAATTTTGTCATTTTAGTTAATCATTCGTGTGTTTCTTTTGCTCAAATCTGTATATATATTATACTGAGAATGTAAGTATTTCTGTAGATTTAAAAAAAGCCTAATCAATGACTAATTATTTCCTAAGACAGCCTGCAACATAATATTCATTTGGTTCCAAATTTTCATGATGATTAAAACTTACGAATAAACACGTGCAAAAATTCTGCATGTTAAAGGATTATCTCATCTTATATTAGTAGAGGGTTATAAGATAAAGTGAATGTTACTAAAAAAGTAGAAAAAAATAAGGCCATTAATGCATACAAAGAATAAAGACAGTGATTCTGCAAAAGCACAAATCACGGTAGGAGTTTCATTGAATACTAATGTTCCTAGATGTATCCATGCTTACAGAAGTCTTTAATTCATGCTGTGTGTCAGACACTGGACTCCATGTAGTTATGTAATTAATTCTCACTATGGCCCTATGAAGTAGGTACTAGCTTCATATTATAGATGAGAAAATACAGAGAGGTCCAGTGTTTTGCTGAAGGCTCCACAGTGAAGAAATAACAGTGGATCCAGGATTTATACTCAGTTTGATTCTGAAGTTCATATGTACTCTCATTATAGTAAGAAGTGTGAGATCCTTGTGTAGAAATACAATTCTAAATTGTAGTTATGATTAGAGCTTTAAAAGGTAAAACCAAATTAATGAAGAAAATATACAAAGAATAAATGCTAGAGAGGGTGTGGAGAAGAGGGAACCCTCTTGCACTGTTGGTGGGAATGTAAATTGATACAGCCACTATGGAGAACAGTATGGAGGTTCCTTAAACCACTAAAAATAGAACTACCATACGACCCAGCAATCCCACTACTGGGCATATACCCTGAGAAAACCATAATTCAAAAAGAGTCATGCACCACAATGTTCATTGCAGCACTATTTACAATAGCCAGGACATGGAAGCAACCTAAGTGTCCATTGACAGATGAATGGATAAAGAAGATGTGGCACATATATACAATGGAATATTACTCAGCCATAAAAAGAAACAAAATTGAGTTACTTGTAATGAGGTGTATGGACCTAGAATCTGTCATACAGAGTGAAGTAAGTCAGAAACAGAAAAACTAATACCGTATGCTAACACATATATATGGAATCTAAAAGAAAAAAAAATGGTTCTGATGCACCTAGGGGCAGGACAGGAATAAAGATGCAGATGTAGAGAACGGACTTGAGGACACGGGGAGGGGGAAGGGTAAGCTGGGACGAAGTGAGGGAGTGGCATGGACATATATACACTACCAACTGTAAAATAGATAGCTTGTGGGAAGCAGCCATGTAGCACAGGGAGATCAGCTAGATGCTTTGTCACCACCTAGAGGGGTGGGATAGGGAGGGTGGGAGGGAGATGCAAGAGGGAGGGGATATAGGGATATATGTATACATATAGCTGATTCACTTTGTTATACAGCAGAAACTAATACACCATTGTAAAGCAATTATACTCGAATAAAGTTGTTAAAAAAAAAAGAAAATAAACACTTGTATCTAGCTAGAATGTCCACCTCTAAAGTAGAGGCATACAACGAAAGGGTACTTATTAAATAGTTAATATTGGCCCCTACGTACACAAGACATATAATCCCCCCTAGACTGACTTTTAATATTAAAAGGCTGTGATGTTAAAATAATTTAAAACAGATGTTTTATTCTTTCCTCCAGAAAGTTATCTTGAAAACCAGTAATTCACAAAAGAAAAATCTACAAATGACATAAAGTGAAAAAGGGTTTATCTCACTAGTAATTAAAGGTAAATTTTACAAACTTTTACCAGATTTGTAAAGAGTTAAAAAAATCGTAATAGAACGATAATATCCAGCCTCAACAAAGGCTGAGGGAATGTGCACTACAGTGGCCACACCTGGTCTGGTGTGACCTGTTACAACTTCCATCCTCATGCGCTCTGCCTTCTCGTCACGAGGAGTGCCCGTCCTGCCACTTGTGCACTGCGTCCCATCCTTTCTTGGGGGCTGTGAGTGTATCAGATGAGCAATTCTCTCTCTCCTACACTGTCGAGTTTCTCCTGTTTATCTGTTCATTCTCTTTAGCATAAGAACATGTTGTACTTTTTTAAAAAAAGTGAATGCTATCTTCAGAAAATCCCTGCTTGATCCCTAATCTCACCACTCTCTATTACTGCCTCATCTCTCTGCTCCCCTTACCAGTCAAACTGCCCAAAAGAATGACCAGGACCAGCCGTCTGCAGGCTACCTTCCCCCATTCTCTCCGGGACCCACTCAGGTGGGCAGGTCTATGTTCCCGCTGCTCCACGGAAACAGCCGGGCCATATTTTGCTTCACCGCCCAGCAGCATCTGACACAGCTGATGGTTCTTCCTCAGATTCTCTCTTACCTTCTCATCACTGGTTGTTCCTTTACTAGATTCTCACCCTCCAGAACGCTAAGCATCTCATCCTCAGAGAAAGCCTCTCTTTTCTCTATTTGTACTTATTTCCTAGGTGATCTCATGGATTTAAATGTGATCTATACTAGTGATGTCTATCTTCTCCCTTAAGAAACTCCAGGTCTGTATACTGACGTACTACACTTACATCTTCTCCATGTGGTGTCTAATCATCACGTGGAACTGAACAGGCCCCAAACTCCAACTTGTTCCACCTGCAGTTTTCCCCAACTCCGCCCTCTAGCTGCTCAAGTCAGAAAGCTCAGTCATCCTTGTTCTTTTGCTCATAGTTGATCCACCAGCAAATCCTGTTGGTTCTACCTTCAGAAAAAATATATACATATCTCTGACCTCTACTTAACACCTCCACCAATATCACTTTGCCCCAAGCCACCACCATTTCTTACCTGGATTACTGCAATAGTCTTGTAACTAGTCTCTTTGTTCCAATCCTTGCCCTACTATTGTCTCTTCTTAACACAGCAGTTAGAGTGATCTTTTAAAAAAGTAGGATTTATTTGGTGTCATAGAGAACTTTTTCTTAAAAAAACTTTTTTTAATAACAGTTGAGCACTTATACTTGATTTTAAAGTGAAATCTTACGGGAAATGCCCCAAACATAAGAACTGATGAAAGTGGAGTTGGGAGCGCAGCAACGTTCTGATGGGCAAATCAGTACTTCCTTCCTCATGGTGTTAAGGCACTTTGGAGATTGTACAGGGTATGAAAAACCACTGCTCTGGAACAACTTATAGAGCTATTCCATTTTTCTTGAGGTCTCAAAAAAATAGCTTTCTTAAAGAAATTAGTGTACATGAAAACTTGATTCCAGTCTAATCACCCCTTGGCTTCCTCTAGAAAATTGTGTCTTACGCGCAGAGTCCCGTTAAAAACCTTGACAGAAAGGTTGAAAAGATAGTCATTGATAGCAAACAACTATGCGATCTCAATCAATAGTAGTTTCTTCTTTGACGCTGCTTTATTATGCATTTATATAAGAGTTATCCTAATATTTTCTTCTTGTTAATAACTCATCCCTACTACTTTTCTACTATAATAAAAATTTGTTTAAACAATATTCTGTTCCTCTAGATTACAGATTCAATACTGGGACTTACCTACCACCTATTATCTCATTCTCATGTCAAGAGAATACGATTTTCTTAGCTGGGAATTAAATGTGGTCACTTTTAAGGGAGAAAGGTGCAGTAAGGGAAAAAAACAAGGAATGTGGGCCTTCTCTCAAACAGTCTAAGTACCTTGGGCCTTAGGGAAATATTATTTTGGACTCCACAGACTTGATTCCTCATCATGTGGCTTGCTGCTGATTCCACATCAGTAAACTGGGAGTAATGGTTTCCCTCTACCTCACAGGGTGACCAACTGTCCTGGTTTGCCCCAGACTTTCCCAGTTTTAGCCCTGAAAGTAGTACTGGTTTAGCAAACTGGGATAGTCGGTCACCTCACTCCCTATATCACAGGAATACTGTCCAGTGAGGCAAGGAGAAGGTAAGATAATTCAAAACATTTCATATACTTTATCTGAAAGAATCCACAGAGCTATTATTATTATTATGTTTATTTTATGCCTATACTAAGTGATCCCTGGTTATGATGTTGTGAGAAATGGTTCAGATGCAACAAACACATCTTAAGAAGGCATGCTTTTACTTACATGCTTAGGGAAACTACATAAATACTGTTCCTGATCATGAATCATTTGAAGAATTAAAAAGTTACAATTATCATACTGGAAGTAAACTGAGTATTGGCACCACAGATATATTACAGGGTACAAACAATTCAACCTTTATATATGAAAAGTGAGTCTTGTTTTATATTATGATTCTAAATGTATTTGCAAATGTTCATTTACCCCAAATGTTTGCATTTTTAATACCTTACCTATCACAGAGACTTTAAGTAACTCAATTTTATCCTTAAGGCCTGCAGCTTTCAGATTGTCACATGCACCTAGTAACTGTGAGTCACTGACATCAGCACCCACGTAATACACATCCTGTGAGGGAAGAAATTCATATTATAAGTATAAATAAACCCATATTTTATGTAGTTAAGAAAATCTACTTGCATTTTCAATGATGAAAGTGAAATTAATAGATTTGTTAATTCAGGTTAAAACAAATTTAGAATATTTCTTTAAAATGACATTCATGGGCAAAAAACAGAAGTTTTTGTTAAAATTTTAAAAACTGTTAATAATATTGTACAATTACAAATGTCTAAGGAATTTAGGGATTTATATAATCTAGGTCATGACTAATTATTGTATTTCTACCATATTTTCCTAAATTTATCACAGTATTTAAAGAAATAACACAGCAATTTAATTAACCCTTCATAGTCTATTTTTATTAGTTATATAGCAACTTGTATAATTAAAAAATAATCCCTAAATAGACAGTCTACCTGTAAATAATTGGTAAGTGAATACACACACACACTGATTAACATAAAACATTGCCTGGTTTACCAAACTTTAGAACTTACTGGCCATTCTTTAGCAGCTTCCAAAAGTATTGTTCCAAGTCCACACATTGGATCTAAAACAACTGCGCCAGCCTATAGACAGAAATGTTGATTTGCTATCATTAAATCTATTATAATAGGTATTATAAAAGAAACCTAACACTTGAGGAATCAGTATTTCAGAGTAAAGACTCCTTTCTATACTTTATTAGGAATTTCAGGTAGTTAAAGCCCTAGTGCAGGTATGCTTGACACATTTAAAGATTAGGAAGGAGACCAGTGTGGCCAAAGCACAGTGAGTGAGAGGGGAAAGGTAGTGATTATGTCAGAGAGGTGGCCAGACTACTCCATCAAGATGGGCTGCATTACACCGTGTGCAGTCACAGCCACCAAGTCCTACAGGTTGAAAACACTATGTAGCTCAGGCTCCAAGCCCACAGAATGACACCTGGGGCTTCTGCTCCTCTCTCAGCAAGTCAAACAGTGAAGTGGTCACCACCTGGAGCATGGCCACCGCTGTGGCAGAGGGAAAGAAAGCAAGACAAATCAGGCACTGGCTTTTAAAGGTGCCATCTGGAAGTGACATACATCATTTCCACCAACATTTAATTGGGGAAAGCGTGTCAGTCACATGACACACACAATTTGAAGGGGCCAGGAAAGTGTCATCCTATCTGTACTTGAGAGGAGAACAGGAAATGCGGAGAAAAAACTAAGAACTCTCCCATCTGGGCAGTGGGGCTGGGGTGGGGTCACATCACGTCAGATCTCGTAGGTGTTACAAGGGGTCTGGTTCTATGCTGAAAGGTGGGAAGCTGTTGGAGGGAAACTAAGCAGGAGTAACACGATGTTACATTTCAAAGGGATCATTCTGGCTGCTCTGTTGAGAACGGATCACAGAAGGGCAAGAGTGTTACAGGGAGGCTAGTTAGGGAATCCAGGCAGAGATAACGGTGGCTTGAACAAAGAGTGACGCTGGTGGAAGTGGGGAGAAGTAGTTGGATTCTGGGTATATTTTAAAGGTAGAACCAACAGGATGGATTGCATGTGGCATGTTAAAGAATGACAACGGTCTGAAGTGACTGAAGTTTTTGACCTGAGCATCAGGAAGACGAGCTGCCTGTTACTGAGCTGGGAAGTGTTGGGGAGGAAAAGCTACAAAGGAGACAAGAGTATACTTCTGGACATGTTCATTTTGAGATACCTCTTAGACCAAGCATGGATGTCAAGTGGACTTAAGCATCTGGAGTTCAGAGGAGAGGTTCAGGCCACAGATATAAATTTAGGAACCGTGGTTGTTAGTTTGTAAATGGTATTTAAAGCATCAGAACTGGATAAGCCATCTAGGAAGCAAGAGAAGTTAGAAAAGAACAGTCTACGGGCTGGATGCCCGTGATCTCCTAACTACAGACATTTGGTAGATGAGTATTCAGCAGTGCACACTGACAGCAGCACATCCTGACGTAGAACCTAGAGTGGTCCTGAAACCAAGTGGAAACACCCATTTCAAGAAGGAGTGATGACAGTGTCCACATGCTAGTAGATTAAGCAAGATGAGCTGTTTCAGTGGAGCACTGGCGATGAGAGCCTGAGGGAAGTGCGCACAAGGAAGAGTGGGAAGAGAAGAAGCAGACACCAGATACGGCCAACTAGTTTAAGTTTTTCTGTAAAGGGAAGCAGAGAAGGGGGTGGTAGCTGATGGAGCATGTGGGTTCAGGAGAGGGTTAATTATTTTTTAAGTTGCAAGATGTGTACATGCTGATGGGAATGACCTAGTAGAGAAAAAAGTCCTCAAGTAGGCAAGAGGGAATGGAATCCAGTACACAAGTAATGGAGTGAAACAAGGACAGTTCGTTTATTATAATGAAGACCAGGCAAAGTATGAGGGCGTAGATTCCAATATGTTGGTAAACTTGGTGGGAGGAACATGTTAAAGTTCTCTTCTGATTCCAATATTTAAGTCAATTAAGAAGTAAGAGAATTCAAAGTATGGGCAAGAAATGGCTGTAATGATAGAACATAAAATCCAAGCTGCGAAAGGGGGCTGAGGACAGGTGGTGAGTAGGGTTGCCTACTAGAGGTCCCACGGGGTTAAAGAACTGCTTTAGGGCCCAAGAGGAAGTGAATGCGAAAGAGAAGGTTAACAGCAGGATCCTTGAATCTGAGATTTTGGAAGGTATACCCTTCTGGGTATGACAAAGTCTAGGATGTGACTAAGGCAGATCGTTAGAGGTAGGGAAGCCAAGACACTAAGGGAGCAGACTACACAGTGGACACTGAGGTCGTAAAGAATTACGACAGGAGAAACGGTCTAAACCATTACAGAAAAGATAGGAAGAGATCTGTAGATACCGGGATAATCTGATGGCATGCGCTTCTAAGGCAGTGAGAGATCTGGGGGCAGAAGGGGCGACGAGGCCAAGCAGGACGCCTATCCCACCTCCAGGCCCAGCGGTCCCTTGGTCTGTCTACAGAGGAGGCAGAACGCTCAGAGGACAGCCAGGACATCAGGGGGTACCTGATGGAAAGAAACAAAATGTCCTTCGAGAGAGAGAGACTTTCCCCTGGCACGAAATTCCGGAGAGTATCACATGGGTCCCCCATGAAGGGGCAGAGAGTAACAAAAAGGATAATGATTTAAATGGCAACTTTAAGATTAATAGTGGTATGAGAACTAATTTTTATTAAGACCTTAAAATGTGCCAAACACTGTGTTCTTTCTCCCCCATGGTCCCTGTTCAATGAGGTAATTTGACCTTAAGTATCTTTCAGTGTCTATTTTACTGTAGGACCTTTTCTACCCATGACATTTGGGTACACAGGCAGAAGCAGAGAAGTATTTCCATATGCTTAAAAGAATAACTGAGATTTATAGAACTTGGTTTTCCTTACTTGTTATGATATATAGGAAGAACAGTTTATAGTAAACATGAAAAAGATCTAACGACCCCAGACTTAAGTTTCATTTTTCGTGGCACTGGCCTACCTGAGATTGAGCTGCTTGTGCACTGCTCTGGGTACCAAGCTCCAAAGAGGGGCCTGGATCAATGCTGGATACTGGGATCACTTACACGGTGGGTCATCACTGCATTCCCCCCAAAAGAAACCTGCTGTGCTATTTCTCACCTACTTTAACAGACCTTCTTTGCTGATGGTCACATTAGAGAAACAATTTTTACTTTCGGTCCTAGCAGGACAAACTGACAAAGGGGAAAAATTTCATTGAGTATTATCTGTGGATATTTTCGATCATTTACTTTCTATATTTCTGAAAATTGTATGTTTATATCAGATAAAGGTAACATTTCAAATTTGTAGGTGGTTATATAAATTTATATGTAAATATAAACTGTGGTGACATCACTGGAAGTTTGGGAAAAAATAAACTGTCACCATACCCCTCTCTCCTTACTAAAAGAAACTTAGGCTAAAGATTTAAATCAAATGAAAAAGAAAATCATGGGTTCCGGGAACGTGGTAATATGGAAATAGCTCTCTCCTTGCTCTCTCAACTCTGAGCCACTTACTTCTGAGGCAAGCGATGCTCAGAACTACAGGCAACCGGCGCTAAGAGACGCCCTGGGCTCTGCTGAGGTCCCAGGAGAAGGAACCAGTATGAGGTCTCCTTGCCATGGGCTGGGTGGGTGATTAGAGACCAGCACTGGAACCCAGAGGGGAAACCACTGGAATCAGGGAAAAACCTGGTCTTCAGAGATCTGTGGACCTGCAGGGAGACTAGTGCATAGGAGAGTTTTCACTGAGTGCCTGAGCATGGCTGACAGTCTCCTTACACTACCAGACCCAGGGGTGCCAGAGATCCACTTGCCTTTTACCACTTACAGGATTCCAGGCATTTAAAATACTTTACTAACCACACTTGAGCCCAGTGAGCCAACAAAGAAAAATAATGACACATCTAAGGGGAGGAGGTCCCTCAAAACCTAGCGAGAACATAGAGCAAACAGAACACACATCTAGTGAAATGAAACTTTTGGAGGGAACAGATAAACATGTGAAAAAAAGTAAGAGCTTCTAGAGATAGCAAATACAGCACACACACACACACAATTTTCCAAAGCTAAAAAAGACCGTGATTTTAAAGCTAAACATTTCAATAAATAAAGTAGAGCACATCTTTGTGACTCTTGTTATAGTTTCTAAGATAATATCCAAGAATAACTCAAAACGCAGAGCCAAAATATAAAGAGATGGAGAGCATGTGAGAAAGGAAGCTTAACATGTTTATCACAGGAATTCCGGAAGCAGAAAAAAGGAAGTAGTTTAAGGTTAAAGACACTAAAGCAAAATAATTGAGGAAATAATAATTAAGTAAATAATGCACGAAAGAGTGCCTGAGGTGGAGGAAAACAATGTTTTTTTATAATTATAAATTCCAAATAATAATTATTATAACTATGATTATTATTACTGTTGGGGTCCAGGGCAGGCCACCCCAAAATATGCTTCAATGGCATATTGATTATCTTGAATTAAAGTTACTTGAGAAACAGCCAGTAAAAAGAAGTGATATTCACAAAGAAGGAAAGAAAGAAAAAGACACCTCCTTTCCCCCTGAAAGCAGGAACTAAATTTCCCTTGTGAAGGTATCCTCCCACTACTGGGAGGAGATAGAAAGCATCCTTATCACCAGAGTTAGGGAACTGAAGGCTAAGAAAGCTGTATAAACAAACTTTGTTAGTTCTTCATTCATCTGCTACTACAAGCACAAGCCCCTTTGTTTCATTAAATCTTCACAAATAATTGTTTCTTTGTCTAAAAATAATAAACAGCCTGCTTTGGTCACTTCAGGGATCCCATGTCTATTAGACTTCCATGCATATGAATTAAATATTTTTTTCCTCCTATTAATCTGTCTTGTGTCAATTTAATTATTAGACCAGCCAAAAGAACTCAAGAGGGGTAGGAGGGAAGTCTTCACCTCCCCGACATTACTATAGCAGACGTCAACACTTACATACTTTCTATATGCTAGGCATTGTTCTAATCACTTGATAAATGCTAATTCACTTAGTCCTCACATGACCCTGTGAGATTATTATTTTCATCTTGCAAATGAGAAACCTAGGCACAGAGATGTTAAGTTATCTTACCTAAAGTTTCCCAGCCAGTAGGTGGTAGAGCCAGAATTAGAACTCAGACAGTCAGACTCACCGAGTTCTGGGCTGAATAGAAAAGACTCTTACATAAGTATTTACATCCAGGTGATATTCCTGAACTTTAGAGGATTAAAGAGAAAACTCTCATAAGCTTGCAAGCAGAAAGGACAAGACAGGCATAATGGAAAAGAAAAATCACACTGGCGTGAACTGCTCACCTAGAACACCAGAAGTGAAAAGACAATGGAATAGCATCTACAGACCTCTGAGAGAAAAGGACTGCAACTCAAGAATCTTATACCTAGCCAAAGTGGCGATACCCAGGTTGACAGGAAGAAGTTTGAGGATATATAGGAATCCAGACAGTATATTCCTCAATACCACATTTGAGGAAAGTAGCTTAGGAAAGACTAACCAAGCAACAAATAAACCTGAGCCGAGGCCTCAAAGTGAAGAACAAGGCGAGGAGCAATGCACCTCACAATATATCTTTGTGTGTTTATACAGAAACGTGCATGTTACACACATTACATCTTAATGATTAAGGATAGGCTGTGTAATATAAGTGCAGAATAAGAACTTTTGAAACAGAGGGTCATGCTTTAAGGGAAATTCTGATACATAATAAATAATTTAGTTCAATCTAGTAGTTGGGAGTTGGGAGTGGAAGAGGGGAAAATGTTTCAAAGGTCTCATTGTAGGGAGGAGTAATTCTATGGGGCAGAAGAGAAAGAAGTACCCTGGAGGTCTCATCTTATGATAGGGAAGAGGGGACAGAGGAGGGAAGATTAGAGTGTCTTGGTGGTAAAAACAGTGTCTTGGCAAAGAAAAGAGTTGATGTCTTGTTGTAAAGTTAGAATCAAGTCCCATGTGTTTAATTAAGAGAGCTGGGAGAGGGAGCCACTAATGGAATAGAACATAAAGTAAAATCCAACCTCAGGGAGAACAGTGAAATGATTAACTTGCTTAAACTAGCAAAAATAAAGGATAAACTGTAAGAAGTTACAAACAGAATAAAACAGGAGGAATGCAATCAGGTGTATCTATCATAATACTGAATGCTCTCATTGAAAGACAGAGCCTATCAGAGTGGGATAAAAACAGAGTTCTGTGTTTATTAAAAAAACACACTGAAAACAAAGTTGAAAATAAAGCAGTGTCAAAGAACTACTACAAAGGAAAATGCAAAGAGAAAGAAAACGGTGAAAATATTAATAAGACATGGTGAAATTTAAATTTAAACTTCCAAATCAAGATAATGAAAACTTTAATAACAAGAAAGAGGCACACTTCACAATGAAGCAGTAACATTCATAAAAGAGTATAAACCAAACTACACAGCAGCTGAATGAGGTAACAATAAAAATGCAAAATCTTAAAAAAATGTAATAAACTAATAAATTTCAAAACACCTCTTTCAGAACTGAGCAGATAGTAAAACAGTAAGTCAAGATATAAAGGCCATCTCTTGACTAGAAAATACAATTATTTTCTTATGTCCATGGAATATTTACAAAAACTGATCAAGATCTTGGTTAAAGGACTTTGCTATTACATTAATAAGAATGAGAACAGTTTCCTTACCTTAATTTCTGCGAGAGAGGCCATTGCCCACGCTATGGTAGATCTCAGTCCTGCTGTCTTGATGTAAGCTCTGCTCGCTAAAGGAACCCTAAAAGAAAAGAACACCCAATATTACTGTATGTTAAAGAATATGATGTAAACAAAAAAATTAACCCATTCATATCTGTACCTCATTTTAACAAGTTCATACAACATGCACTAAAGTATTTCCTGTTAGAGAATATTTAACCTTATTACAAAATTACCTTCTCTAATTGGCACCTTGTCTAACCAGCCAGTGTGGTATTTCAGAAAGGTAAATTTTTTAGATAAGTGAAATTTAAACCATTGTGTGTTTAACTTATAAAGATTTAATCACATGAGGGAAATCTTCCTAAAGTGTTTATATACTTCCCTGACTTCCCACACGGACTAGACCTTGCCTTGCTGATCTGGAGTCATCAAGAGGAACAGACTGCACTGTGATATAGATGTAGTATAGGAAGCAGGGCTGAATGGATGCTAACCCTTGAAATATGTTTTCTAAAAAGTCCCTTTTGTAAGTTTGCTTCTTGCTCATTTGCATCTTTCTCAAAAGATGGAATGAAGCATGACATTGCATTGCCTAAGATAATTTATCGAACGAAGGGCTGAAGCAGACATCTCCCCAATGAGTTCACTGGTCTCCATTATGTATCACTTTATACTTTATCCTCTACCTAATCATTGCTACTATCGGTGTTTCTAGATTTGATACAAATTTTCAGAAAATTATTTTTATGTTTCTAATGCAACAAACAAGCATTTCCTTGGAAATATCAATGCACTTTTCTATTTCATGTATACAATTTGTTGGTAAGACATTATGGGTATGATTTCAAGAATCAGTGCCTGGTTGTTTTGGGGATAGACTTGTTCCAAAGCCACTAAGGGGCTCTTCTACTAACATTACACAAAGCCACAGTGTTTTCCAAACCCTATTTCCTTTCATCATTTTATTTCTGCTCTTTCTTTGACTTTAAGTTATCCTGTTTTGTGTGTATTTACTGCAAGCCTCTTAAGATCTTAGAATGAAATGAGGTAATTATAAATACCTTATCAAATAAAACAGTATAATTGCATATTTACTATTATGAGGAAGCCCTGAACGGTAAACCTACGAAAGTTTTTTTTTTTTTTTTCTCTTGAAAGGTTTTTCAGGAAATAAAAATTCACATTGTAAATAGTACTATATCCACAGATTTGGAATCTGGGATATAAACTTTGCAGGTAGAAACACTATAAAATATTTTGATCAATGAATCTTGCTTCTGCAGGTTAACTGCAGCAATTATCTTGCTACAAAACACATTAGTTAAAACCAAAATGAAGAGATGATTTTCACTCTAGAAACAAACACAGAGAGCGAGCGAGAATTATTATGGAAAACTGTCTTTGTCCATATATATTACAAAGTGCTTTTCTAAGCATCAGAGATTTATGTAGAACCTTTAAATTTTTAGCCATTATGTGCATATTTTTACTAATAGAGGTTTTATTTTATGGAAGCCAATTCTATTAATATGTGACAAAAGTGAACACATTCTTATTTTGCTTAACCTTGGGCAAAACTAATCTGCTATTATTTCAACAAAACGGCCTCATTATGTCAGTAAAAATAAAATTATTCGGGGGAAAGAAGTGTTCAGAAATAAACTCCTTGAAAATAAAAATAATTCCCTACTTTCGTAAAATCCGCTGATGTGTTTAATCAGAGTTTAGCTGGCTTTTACCTTAGTACAAAAATAAAGGTGTTTTTTCCTCCAGAAAGTAGGCATAGAGGGAACTTACCTCAACATAATAAAGGCCGTATATGACAAACCCATGGCCAACATTGTTCTCAGTGGTGAAAAACTGAAACCATTTCCTCTAAGATCAGGAACAAGACAGGGTTGTCCACTCTCACCACTATTATTCAACATAGTTTTGGAAGTTTTAGCCACAGCAATGAGAGAAGAAAAAGAAATAAAAGGAATCCAAATGGGAAAAGAAGAAGTAAAACTGTCACTGTTTGCAGATGATATGAAACTATACATACAGAATCCTAAAGATGCCACCAGAAAACTACTAGAGCCAATCAATGAATTTGGTAAAGTAGCAGGATACAAAATTAATGCACAGAAATCTCTGGCATTCCTATACACTAATGATGAAAAATCTGAAAGAGAAATTAAGGAAATACTCCCATTTACCACTGCAACAAAAAGAATAAAATACCTAGGAATAAACCTACATAAGGAGACAAAAGACCTGTATGCAGAAAACTATAAGACACTGATGAAAGAAATTAAAGAGGATACAAACAGATGGAGAGATATACCATGTTCCTGGATTGGAAGAATCAACATTGTGAAAATGACTATACTACCCAAAGCAATCTACAGATTCAACGCAATCCCTATCAAACCACCAATGGCATTTTTCACAGAACTAGAACAAAAAATTTCATGATTTGTACGGAAACACAAGAGATCCCGAATAGCCAGAGCAATCTTGAGAAAGAAAAACAGAGCTGGAGGAATCAGGCTTCTGGACTTCCGACTATACTACAAAGCTACAGTAATCAAGACAGTATGGTACTGGCACAAAAACAGAAATATAGATCAATGGAACAGGATAGAAAGCCCAGAGATAAACCCATGCACGTATGGTCAACTTATCTTTGATAAAGGAGGCAAGAATATACAATGGAGAAGAGACAGTCTCTTCAATAAGTGGTGCTGGGAAAACTGGACAGCTACATGTAAAAGAATGAAATTAGAACACTCCCTAACACCTTACACAAAAATAAAAACTCAAAATGAATTAAAGACCTAAATGTAAGGCCAGACACTATCAAACTCTTAGAGGAAAACATAGGCAGAACACTCTATGACATAAATCACAGCAAGATCCTTTTTGACCCACCTCCTAGAGAAATGGAAATAAAAACAAAAATAAACAAATGGAACCTAATGAAACTTCAAAGCTTTTGCACAGCAAAGGAAGCCAAAAACAAGATGAAAAGATAACCCTCAGAATGGGAGAAAATATTTGCAAACGAAGCAACTGACAAAGGATTAATCTCCAAATTTTACAAGCAGCTCATGCAACTCAATATCAAAAAAACAAACAACCCAATCGAAAAATGGGCAGAAGACCTAAATACACATTTTTCCAAAGAAGACATACAGATTGCTAACAAACACATGAAAGGATGCTCAACATCACTAATCATTAGAAAAATGCAAATCCAAACTACAATGAGGTATCACCTCGCACTGGTCAGAATGGCCATCATCAAAAAATCTACAAACAATAAATGCTGGAGAGGGTGTGGAGAAAAGGGAACCCTCTTGCACTGTTGGTGGGAATGTAAATTGATACAGCCACTATGGAGAACAGTGTGGAGGTTCCTTAAAAAACTAAAAAGAGGGGCTTCCCTGGTGGCACAGTGGTTGAGAGTCCGCCTGCCAATGCAGGGGACACGGGTTCGTGCCCTGGTCCGGGAAGATCCCACATGCCGTGGAGCGGCTGGGCCCGTGAGCCATGGCCACTGAGCCTGCGCGTCCGGAGCCTGTGCTCCGCAACGGGAGAGGCCACAGCAGTGAGAGGTCCGCGTACCAAAAAAAACAAAACAAAACAAAACTAAACTAAAACTACCATATGACCCAGCAATCCCACTACTGGGCATATACCCTGAGCAAACCGTAATTCAAACACAGTCATGTACCACAATGTTCACTGCAGCACTATTTACAATAGCCAGGACACAAAAGCAACCTAAGTGTCCATCGATAGATGAATGGATAAAGAAGATGTGGCACATATATACATTGGAATATTACTCAGCCATAAAAAGAAATGAAATTGAGTTATTTGTAGTGAGGTGGATGGACCTAGAGTCTGTCATACAGAGTGAAGTAAGTCAGAAACAGAAAAACAAATACCATATGCTAACACATATATATGGAATCTTAAAAAAAAAAAAAAAAAGGTTCTGAAGAACCTAGGGACAGGACAGGAATAAAGATGCAGATGTAGAGAATGGACTTGAGGACACGGGGAGGGGGAAGGGTAAGCTGGGACGAAGTGTGAGAGTGGCATGGACATATATACACTCCCAAATGTAAAACAGATAGCTAGTGGGAAGCAGCCACATAGTACAGGGAGATCAGCTTGGTGCTTTGTGATCACCTAGAGGGTGGGATAGGGAAGGTGGGAGGGAGACGCAAGAGGGAGGAGATATGCGGATATATGTATATGTATAGCTGATTCACTTTGTTATAAAGCAGAAACTAACACACCATTGTAAAGCAATTATACACCAATAAAGATGGTAAAAAAATAAATAAAGGTGTTTTTGATCTTACATACATTTCTTCTTTTTTCTCTTACCCACCGTCTATCAGCAAGTTGAAGACATTCTCACCTACATCTCTCTAGCCTAGATTTGTCCCTTGAATCCCAGATCTTTATCTTCAAACGTGTATTTGGACATCTTTTACCTGGAGGTTCTTTAAGTACTGCAAAATTTAAAGATATAAACTAAGTACACTCTCCTTTCCCTGTATTTATTATCTTGATATACGTCTTCATTTCCTTAGGCCACTTACCATCTATATACTGGGTAATCTCATCTACACCTCCAGCTGAGACTTGTCACCTGAACTCCAGAGCTGCAACTTTAAATATCTACCTGGACATGTTTCACTGGACACATACCTACTTCCTTTCCCCATATTTTATATCTCAGTGACTGACACCAGTGTCTCTTCGTTGCCAATATCAGATATCTGGAAGTTACTCTAGACTCCCTAACATTTTCTTGAATGCACGGCCTCCTTTTTATTACCCCCAGCATTGCCTTAGTTCATTTCTTCATCATTCATCGCCTGAACCGGTATGAGTTTAACCCCCCTTTTTTATTTCCCTTCCACTTTAAAATACAATTTCCTTGGTAATTTTTTAAAAATCACAAACCTAATCGCAACACTCTTCTGCTTCAAATTCTTACTGCCTTTCGAATAAAATTCAAGTTATTTAACCCGGCTTATAAGACACTTCATGACTCGTTCCTAATCCTCAATCTCCTTTTCCACCACTCTCCCTATGCACTCCCGGTCCCATCTATACCGAAACTACTTGCTGTCCGCCATGCACCTCAAGCCTCCTCACACCTCCATGCCTCTACACGTGCAGTTCCTTGCTTGTAAGATCCTTTCCTTCTCTTGTCCACTTGAGATATCCTTGCTTATTATTCTCCATTTAAGTGATTCACTGAGTGATACTCTTCTGTGTTCTTTTGCTCACCTGTCCTCCATCAGTTAGGTCCTCTTTTCTAATTCCAATCAAGCACTGACCACGTATCTGTTCTCCCACTAGAGTGAATTCCTTGTGTTTCATAACCATCTTACTCATCTTTGAACACTGGATATGTAGCACAATGCTTAGCACAGAGTAAGTACTCATTAGATAATTTCAGTTGAAATTAATTGAATGAATTAATCTTACTCTGGTAAATGCTTCTCCCCTTCCCTCCCTAGTTGCTGATCTGTTTAAAAATAGAATAGTTGAAATTTATTCACCACTTACTGTATCATAAAAGCAGTTATCTCATTTTCATACGTGTTATCTCATTTAATCCCAACTACAAAGCTAGGAAGTAGATACCATCCTTTTCCTGATTTTATAGCAGAGGAATGTGATAATATGCCCCAACTCGCAGAGTTATTTTGTGGAGAAGGGGGAACTGAAGTCCATGGTTCTTATCCACTATGCTTACTGTACCAGGTGATGTGCTACTAAGATACACATTTTTGTGTGTCCCTCAAACTTGATGGCTGCTCTGTCCTCTGTTCCATCACTTCTGACTTTCTTCTCTTGTCAGGGTCACCAGGTTACAGTTTCTGACCTCCACCATCACTTCTCTTGTCCACCGCTATCTGCTTTTCAGTTCTTCATATGCCTCCCTTGCCTCACACAATGGTGAACTGTTTTAATCAAGACACTTCGTGATTGCTTCCTTCCTTCGCCGAGGTAGTGAAACAGACTAATTACAGAGTGTCTAATGCAATCTTATTTTCGGCCACTGCTCATTCAGGGTCTGAGCCTTAATTTTCAGATACATACGTTTTATTTGTCAACTTTTAGGTTAAATTACCAGTTATTACTTGAGATGCCATAAGCATGACTTCTTGAGGGTGTCTAGCAATCATTAAATAAAATTGTACACCTTTTAAAAACACATATAAAAACTTACGTATATTTGTTAAGTTAATAATAAAAGAGCATGAAAGTTAGCATTTTTATCTATGATTACAAATTAAAAATGAGTTCTTTTATTTGGTGCCAAAAATCTAAATACATTCATACTGCATCAGTCAGCCCTGCTGGGGATGAAATGTTCCTTACAAATCAATATTCTAGACACTTAAGCTCACCCTTTTAGGGGCCAAAGTGTTAAAGAATATTTAGCTGCTTTATGAATCCTTCTAAAAATATATTTCATATTTTACTGTCTTACTAGTCTTCCTTACCCTTGTCTTGGTGACTATCAATAATTACACTAGGTTGAAATGTGGCCATCTTTCAGTTTCTCCCACCTTTCCTGTCGACTATTATAAAATTTAAAAAAACCAAAATTGCTTAAAAAAAAATGTTTTACAAATATTCTGCAGGGGTTAGGGCCTGGGACTTCAAAAGGCACTGGAGTAGGGCAGCCTGGACCCCTTGCAGGTGTAGGTATAAAACAGTGGGTTAGGTTTCATCTGGGAGAGTTGGTAGGCTACTGGGGTAGGTGGGGGCCAAGGGAAACCAACAGGGCGTTGAGGCATGTGATGACCTCGTGTGTGTTGAGGTGACAAGAAATATTATTTGGTGCATGATTTTTGTAATCTAGAGGCTAGTGGGGTCTACCCTGTGACTAGCACACAGTGGAACTCAGTCATTCAACACTTCTTGAACATCTACAGCGTTCTCAGCATTGTGCACCATTTGATAAAAGCTATTACAGTGACCTTCAGCACTCCTTTTTACAGCCCGATTCAGGCTTACACATGCACAAATGTGAGCTTAGGGCAAGTGAGGTATTCCCATAGCACTTTTAGGATTTTAAAAACATTCCATGCCTAGAATCACCTAGAGAAAGGGTATCTAAATCACCTTATACTGTGTAAACAGGGCTTTGCAAATAAAATGTTTTGAAGATGCCAACAATATTCACATGTTCCCAACAAACTGCAAATCCCTACTTCCATCATCCAACCAGCTCTTTCCTCCCAAAGCATCTAGAAAAAGGACCTGTCATATGATAAGCGTTCAATAAGTATTTCTGAATAAGAAAAGGAATCAACTGCATTTATTATTATATAGTACCCAACATAACTAGGGAGAAAACCGGAAGATTTTAAAAACTGGAATGACTCTCCCACAAAAAAAGAGCTGCAATAAAATTTGAAGAATGTTTAAGGTGACTTTTAAGTACTGTGTTGTGTTTTCTACTTTAATAAAAAAATCCAAGAGGCCAACAGACCAAAAATTTTAGCTTAAATATGGGCCTGTGAAAATCATTTAATAATAGAAATAATTAGATATAATTTTCAGTATGAATCATGTCATCAGTGGGTTATTGTGATCAAATCTTTCACAGCTCTAGTCCGATCAGATATCTACTAAGCTCCGTGAAAATACTTTACTGGCTCAAGCAAAGAACTCAAATGCTTTGCCTTTAGCTCCCTCTGATATATCAACGTTTCTTTCATACTATAAATAAAAGCACAAAGTTCTTAATTTTACAAAATCTACTAAGGAACAAACCTGAAACTTAGAAACAATATCTACCTGAACACAGGAATTCCCACCACACAGTAAATATCACTTAGATGTATAAAGATCTGAAAGAACAAATACAGAAGTTAAAATGGAACAGGAAATGCATTACCAAATGATTGACAATTTGAAAACTTCCATTTTGAACCTATATAACCTATATTTTAATAAGAAATTCCAAGGCTTTGTCATATCCAGAAAAATGTTCCATAATATTTTTTACTGAGCAGAGGCAAAGTAAATTTTAAGTACGTCTCATAGAAAAATTCTGAGGTCAAATTGTATACAAGTTATATTGCGAATCATATTACGAAGAACTCAAGGTCACCTTTCTTCCCAGCGCTTCTCTGAATTACCTTAACTAAATTAGATTTTTCATCATTTTAGGTTAGAGACAACTACCTAAATCTACCCTAATTCTAGCCTCAAATAAGACTTGATGCCATGGTTAACAGAAAACTTTCTTTAAGCCAAATATACTGTAGCAAGGGTGACCTTTCCCCTCCCTACTATTTATAGGGGAGCTTCTTCCTTCTATTACCTTGTTATTTTTTCCCCAGTTTTATTGAAAAATAATTGACATATATCACTCTATATGTTTAAGGCCTATAGCATGAAGGCTTCATTCATGTATATTGTGAAATGATTACCACAATAGGTCCAACTAACATCCATCTTCTCATATAGATGAAAGGAAAAGAAGGGGAAAAAGGAACAACTTCTTCCTTGTCATAAGGACTCCTAGGATTTACTCTCTTAGCCGCCTTCCTTTAAGTTGTATAGCAGTGTCAGCTGCAGTCGTCATGACAGGCCATGATGAGGATTTAAATGCCTCAAGTTATAATTAGTAGCCCACACAGATTTTAAAGAACCCTCCTTCTGTAGCCTGATGAGGCTTATGGAATTCTCTAATTCTGCTGTTTGACCTCAAGAACATTTGATTCCTGACACTTTTACCCCAAAGGTATTTTAATATAGTTTAATCAGAATTATTCCAATATTGATAAACTTTTATTAAGAAAAGAATAATCTGGAGTGAACTCCGTTTAGTCAGTTTAATTCCTTGATTACTGAAGCTAAACTTTCCAATTTTTTATATTATTCATTCTAGCAAAACTACTAATTGGGATTAATTCTTTTCTATTTAAAAGTTATATTAAAGATATGATATACTGATATTTTTATATATCAAATGTTATCAGGTATAGCTTTCCCCACTATGAAGGTTTTTCTATTAACTGTACAGAACAAAATTTGTTAAGATTTGATTCTTCTGTCAATTTTGGTCACGGATTTTACTATGTGTGATTCTATTGTTGTCAATTTTGTTTTGTGTTGATTATTTCTACCAATAGCTATTATTAATTGCATTAAATGGATGATAGGAATTAAATTAGATATATTTAGTTATGAGCTAAACTATGAGAAAACTATAATTCTGAGACAGTGAGATAGAGGCAGGGAGAGATGGAGAGGAGGAAACAGGAGAGCTGAAGATAAGCAAAGTGGAAAGGGGCAGATGAAGGAAGACACCCTTATGTCAAAACATTCTTGAGGTCAAAATATTTTGCATAACAGCAATAAAGAATATAAAAGAGGCACGACTTTTTAAAAGCAAAAAATATCAAATAACAAAACTGAAAAACAACACAAAATCTTCTGATTTGGCCAGCCATTACTCCATTTAAAGCTATATAACAATAAATTTATGAATTAACGAATCATAAAAGTGACTAAACTGGTCAAATTTATGAGATGGTTTTCAAAAAATAGTGAAGAATATTTGTTATAGCTAGAATTTGTTTTCCCATGTGTTTACTTTGTTCTAATCAAAAATTGTGTAACCTCCTTAAATTGATTTTGAAAATAGAGAAAAAGAAAAATAATCCCCAAACCCTAACAAAGCCACGATTAACACACTAATTAACTTTGTATTGGCCTTTTTGTTTTCCGATTTTTTTTTACCATTAGCTAGAATTTCTTATTATACAGACTTGTTATTTATTATAGTGATTATAGAGAGCATCTCTGCAACCTCATATTAAATGTTCAGTTTAACTGTGACTAAACAATTCCATTCCAAAAGTCCTAATTTGGATGAGACATTTTCACAGTGAAAACTACTAGCAAAATTATCTGTAGTATTCTATTGCTAAAGAGGAAACAGACTGCTGGATCCATGTAGACATGATTTTTAAAACTCTAAAGCAAAATTGAAAAGCAGAATAAAAGTTGTTGACATTGCAATAATATTGTAATAACTTTGCATGGGGACAGGTGGCTACTAGACTTATCATGGTGATTATTTTGTAATGTATGCAAGTGTCGAATCACTGTGTAGTTCACCTGAAACATAATATTTTATGTCAACTATATTTCAATTTAAAAAAAGAATAGTTGGCATCGTCTTTAAAGAATTAGGTTATAAGCATATAAAATAAAATGAACACTCATTACCTCTACATTTGGATTCCTCAAATCTGCTTTCCATCCAAACTGTTTCATGAGAGCAATTCCAATTACTCTTCCTGCCTCCTGGAAAAGCAGCAGGTTATAGAAAAGAATATACTAAAAATGAAAATTTTAAGTTTAAATGTAAGCAAAAACTAACAGAGTCTGCAGGAAAATCAATCAGACTATCTGATGGTAATTTAAGGCTACAATATTAAAATATCACACGAAAGCATCTTCTACTCAAGGCAAAAAGGGTATATTTTACTTCTTCCACCCCCAACACATCCTATGGCATTAACGTCTACTTGTATGTAATCTTTATTCTTGTAATTTTATTTTATTTTTTTTTAATTTTTTTATTTTTTTTATTCTTGTAATTTTAGATACATGAAATAACCAGATCATGGCCTGATAAATATGGTCATTCTGGGTTTTAGGAGACAGATGCAAGCTGAAAGATGAACTATTTTAGCTATGGCAATCCTATATGTTTAAAAATTACCAGCAATAGCATTAGGCTCAAACTTAAGGGTCTGTCTGATTTTAAGACTGGCCAAAGGACCTAGGCTTATGCCCTTTATATTACTGAACTTTGTAGGGTCTGTTCGTGGTCTTTGTTCTCCTTTTCCGTCCATCTGTGTATTTGCATCTGGGTCCTGGGACAATCCCACATGCAGGACCTGGTGCAGAGCAACAATTCAATAAACACAGAAGCGAACTACAGAGAGAGCCAAACAGCTTCAGACCATGATATTAGGATTTCCAAATGTAAAGGATATCTGTTCGTTTAACGAAACTTTTAGGGAGAAAGTAAAAGGAAGTCTTTACATAGAATGGCATACTATTCCTCTTAAGCATCTGAGGTACAGTTAAGAAGGAAAATGCATTTTTAGAAGAGATTTAGTTATATGAGATTAGGCCTAGTTATCTGTCTGGGCCTGGTTTATGTATTCTGAGAAAGGTTTTCACCTCTTTTTAGATCTAAAGAGTAATAAACTCTTAGAAAATGGTAACCCACTCTGGAGGGGGAAAGTATACCTGTGCAGTAAAGGTCTTTGCAATGGCTCCACTGCAGCGACAGGAAACTCTGAAAGTTAAGTCGTTCTGGTTATGAGTATCAACTGCTTCTGCTACATCGTTCTGAAGTTCTTCTTGAGATTTGTCTCTTTTAGTGGTAAAATTTCCTTGCTCCAGTGTTTCTTCTTCTATTTGTTTTTCCACTTGGCATTCCTTTTTCTCTTGTATCTCTTGCATTTCTGCTGTTTTCAATTTCTTAGCAATGATGTCATTTTCTCCCACTTTTCTTTTTAGTGGGTTAGCATTTTTTTGAGAAAGTTTTACCTTTTTTGCATTAAGTTCAAGAAGATTTTTCCAAATTGAAATGGCATTCAACCAACTTTCAGGATCATCATTTGTTAGTCTCTGCATTTCATTAAATATTTTTCCTAAATAAATAAAATCTCAGTTTACCCTTTATTGAAGCTATTCATCACCCCCCAAATCCCATTACCTTTATTTCTTTAAAATAAGAAATTTTATTAAATTGCTACATGAATAGTGACTTCCCTTTCATCTGGAATTTATATAATTTAACATAAGAATATTGTACAGAATAAAGTTCATTCGTATATTGCATACTTAACGCCAAAACTGTTTTAAAATTCCTACAAAGTTATCATTTTCTTTAGCAAGATCATTTGTCCTACGATAACATATGCATCTCTTCAATATACTTATAGACCTAGAGCATGTATTGGTCTTTAAAATAATGCTGATCTTGCCTACAAAAATTAAGTTTAAAAAAACAGAATAAATTGCAAAACACAGAGCTCAAAAACAGAGCAACTGAATCTTGGGACTATTTTAGACCATACAATATTAGCACAGATCGTAAAATGATTTCCCACAAAGTAACACTTCAGATATACAACCCATTCATAACTTAGGGACTGCCAGCCATGCTCGATAAAATGTAACCTTTCCTTGATGAACAAGGGACGTAAAAATGACCCAAGAATAATTACTGTAGTTCTCTAAATATGAAAGTGTGTGGAATATTGGGATGAAATTTTATTGACCCCACAATATTATACCTTAGATTTGCTTTAAAACCATTTTTCTGCCCTGTCTTGATTTCTCGCCATTTGTATCTTTCTTGACACATTTTATTATAGACTATATGATGACATGGTCTCTTGTGCACAAGCAGCAATCAAAATGAGGTTTAAGGCAATGTTTTATCCAGATGTATCTGATCCTATTTTGTTGCTTTTATCAAGATCTTTACATTATTTCAGCAGCATATTTATAAAATTAGGGAGTGGACAAGAAATCTCTTAAGCCCTCTTTAACTCTAATGCTTTATAAATGGGTATAAGTTTTTTCAAAACATTTAAAGTTCCCCAAACAGGAAATTTTACTATGTAGTATTTTTCCAATTATATCACTCATCAGTTAAAATTTAGATGGTGACAGTTTTGACCAATTAATTAAATCAATGCATTTTGGGTTATTACATGCTCCTAAATCTAAATAAATGCACTGACCACACACAGTTCTAGAGAAGGTGTCTGATCGTAATTCTTAAGGAAGAAATGTGACTTAGGACACTAAAATCTCAGAAGACAGGCAGCAGATTGCAAAGAGAAGAGACATAATTAGGTGATAATGTTCAGGAAATACAGAAAAATAACTAACGATCCCACGGGTCTGAATGAATCTTAAAAATGTGAAATGGCTACATATTAATTACCAAGCAGAAAACTCTGGAGTACAATATATCATGGGGGGTAAAAGCAATAGGTATACACTGTACCTTTACTTACAGAAGAAACATTAAATGGAAGCTGCTTTTTAATCAGCAAAAATAACCTTTCTGCAGATTTTAATTTTTTCAGCATATTCAAGTCAGAACAGGTGGTGAAAAAAACTTTTCCTGAAATATATTCAACCTAGAGATAGAAAAAATAGATATTAATGAATTAAAACATAGCACCTAGACTAACAGTAACAAAAATGACCATTTCTGAAGTATCTACTATTTATCAGACACTGTACTAGGCCCTCTGAATACATTTTTCCCCCCATATCCTTATAACAGCCCTCTAAGGTAGATTTTATCATCCCCATTTTATAGATTAGGAAATTGAGGCTTAGAGAGGTTAAATAATTTGTATGAAGTCACATAGTGACCAAGATCATAATCTTTCTATGTTACCTTTTGGAAAGTGTGTGTGTGCACACACTACTAAAAAAATAGAACACAAAATACTCATTAATTATCAAATCTCACTCAAATGTTAAGAGTGGGCAAAGGAAAGGTATAATGGAGAGGACAAATGAGGTGTCTAGCCCAAGGTTAAAATAATCAGTAGGTATTTCTTAAACATCCACCTCGTGGTCTACAAGGAAGCATACAGTATAAATCTTAAAGATGAATAATAATGTAATAGGCATACAATGACATACAAATTAAAATGTAAAATTTATAAGACAACAATCTGCATTAAACCCAGAAGAAAACTAAAAACTTAACATAATAAACGCACTGATAAGTTGTAGGTACAATAAGTAGCACCAACGATGGAAGCCATCGTTAGTAAAAGTCTCGGGGAAGAATCCTATAAGACTTAGGAAGAGGGATTCTAACAAAAGAAAAAAGGGCAAGAACACACAGATGGGAGTGACAACCTGGCTGAAGTAAACTGTAAGTCAGCATGGCAACATTTGCTGTGTGATGCTGACTGATGGTGTCGGGTGGATGGATGGTGTAGCTCAGGCCGGCTTGATAATGGTCACGAAATTTCGAGTACCACAGATGCTAATGGTCAAGCATTACAGGCTTTTGATGAAAACTATGACAGCACTAAATTAGCTGGCAGAAAAAATTACTGTGGAAGAGGCATAAAGGACTGAGTGGTGAACGTGATGCTGGAGGGAGAAGTAGATTACTGAGGAAGAAATAATGAACCATTTGGCTGTGGGAACTGGAAAATGGACAGAAGCAAGAAGTACGCATCAAACAGAAAGAGGTTTTGGAGACAGGATGGCTATGTGGTCAAAGTCATGAAGAAAGGAAAATGAAGAGAGCACTGACTCACAGAGAATCGAATGAGGTACAGCAAATGGTGCTTAATGCCAATGGAACCCTAAACCTTTTGGGTCATTCCAACGCCCTCAGGTTCAGGATGGATGTGGACAGTCGTAGCATTCTCCTTTTAGCAGTGGCCATGGGCTGACTGACATGGTTTTATGTCATTTCCTAGGACTGAGGCAACCATGGAATTTGGGGGATCCCATGTGCGTAGGTAGCTCCCATTCAATGGGAATTTGAACTCCAAATGTTTTATGTTTGATCTGACCTGGTCTAATTAAGCTTTGCAGATGGTAATTTCTGAGGTTACCACTCTAGCTTGATGAAGAAGAATCTCCACTGGGGAAGCCCTAGGTTGATAACAATTAAAACCCCAATATTTCCAGTTACAAGAGTAACAAGTTCTGGGGCTCTGACATATAGCATGGTGATTACAGCTAGTAATACTGTATTATGTAGCTGAAAGTTGCTAAAAGAGTAGATCTTAAATGTTTTCACCACAAAAAAAGTAATGGTGCTTATATGATGGGATGGAGGTGTTAGCTAATGCTATGGTGGTCATCATTTTGCAATATATAAATGTATCAAATCACCTTAAACTTACATAATGTTGTATGTCAATTATACCTCAAGAGAGCTGGAAAAACAAATAAATTAAAAAAAAAAACCAAATAGCTTAGGTACCAGCAATGTAGCTGACCAAGAGAGATGGAGGAAGCAGGGAATGAGAATAATGTTTAGGAATCAGGATTTAAGGGGATAATGAAGTAACTAAAACAAGAACTTCTGGTGTCTACAATTTACTTCTTTCCCATTACAAAGGTGACATTTTCTCTCTAAAGTCAAAACTAAATATATACCCCAAAAGTGCTTAGAACTTGGAGACATAGTTTTAAAAAGTAAATTTTTAGAAGTTTAGATTTTATGTTACTTGACCTAAAAATATAGCTGATATTAAGCCATCACAAAACAGGTTAACAGACATGAAATACTTTGTCCAGATTCTGGGGGAACTGAAATAAATATTTTACTGACAATGTATGGTTTTAAGATCCAAGTCTTATAAACAAACTGATGCAAACATCTAGACCAGTGATTTTAACCTAAGTAGTCTAGACATTAAATTTGTTATTTAATTGTACAAAGATCTTATCTTTTCTCATTTACTTGAGTATCAAGGGAAACAGTTTATATAACGAACTTCCTCCAAAAATATCTGTTTTTGAGGGGGGTGTGGAGAACAAAAAAACGTTGACTGAAAATAAAGTTAATTAAGAGGACCTAAAAGGTCATTTAATTTATTTGGGGTATCCAATCATAAGAATAATATGTGTTGAGGCACTAAATACATTCTCAAAACCAAAAGCAACATTATTCTCTTTATTTAAAAAATTAACATTAGGCCTACATTCCTTTTACAAGAAATGAGCATGTAATCAGAAGTAGTTTATGAAGTTGTAAAACAGCCACTGTGAGAATCAGTCATATATATGAAAGCACTTTAACAGTTCACCCTTCGTAAAGACATTGTGTCTCAAAGTAGTAGAGAGATGAATTTTGGTGTTTATGATTTCCAACACTGAAGCTACCGTTACTCATTTTTTTTAGTTTGTTACTGATCATATTCAATTACAATAATTAGGGAGAACTGTGGCATTTTAGAATATTTCACCCCAGTATTTGTTCCTTGAAAATTTATTTATATATCCAATCTGTTCTTTCCATTTGGAATTAAATCATTAAAAACTGCCTAAAACCAGCTGGTTTTATGTCTAACACTTCAGAAGATGAAATAACAGCCTTTATTAAAGAAAAAAATAGCTCTGTTATCGGCTAGCGTTATCTAGGCAGTTAGCAGTTTTACCTTTCTTTTACAATTCAGGGATTCAAGTCTGACACAAAGATGAAAAGCTTAAGCCTATGCAAAAAAGTAAGGTACAGTAAGATAGGGAGATACCAAAGTTATCCTAATTCTACAGATGCCATTTAATTTCAGAATTAATTTTAAAGTACTAAGTGAAGGACTGAGGTGGGGTGTGAGCTTTTCTGGATCATTTTAGAAGAGAGACTTAAAAATATATACTTTACTACATTAAATGAAAAACTATGGAACAACTCAACTGTCTGCTTAGCTGTACCCCACTGCCCTCTGTCGTCATGACCCCACTAAAAAAGTAAAAACAAAAGGACCTGGGTTAATTGTCTTTGCTATGTGGATTTATAAAGGCTGACTAACCAACTGACAGGGCCTCCTGGCCAGCTGGCACTGGAGACACCTCTACTCTCTCCAAAATTACTGTTCCTGCTTTTATTGTTATAATAACTAACAGTATTTAACACGTTAAACATTATTACAAAGTAAAGCTTAATTTTACCCAAGACATTTCTTTATAAAGTACTCTACACACTACATACTACAGTATATATATGCTATAAATTAAATATTTAAAAATACACAGGAACCTATAGAGAGGCTTGCCCCACCACCAGGAGAAAAAAAAATCAAACCTGAATATGACCAAGTGCTAGCTATAACTTACAGGACTCCGATTTACAGGAAACACAGAGGATAGGGGAACATAGGAAACCACACCATGGAGAAGCAAATGGCAAAGACTGAGAACAAGCAGAGACCATCTTTTTTCTAATAATGCAGCATATGCAGACTGGGTCAAGCCATCTGTTTTTCATACCAAGAACTGCGTTTACATTTTAAAACCTCAGTGCAGCAAGACGTCATGGCCGCACAGTGTTTAACGAACTGGACCCAGGTCCCAGCCTGCCTAGGTTGAACATGATAATATGCTCATGCTTGATTTCAGACAGCTTGGGTTTGAATCCCAGCTCTGCCGTTTTCTGGTTCCACGACTTGAATATTTCATTGGACTTTACCTGTGCCTCATTTTCCGTTTCTGTTAAATGTGGAGCCTACCTCATACCATAGGGCAGTTGTGAAAATTGTCTGACACATATTAAATGCTTAATCCATGTCAGCGGCTGCTATTGTTGCTTTTTTAGATTAGCTACATTCAATACTCTATGACATTCTGTGACCAAAACCACAAATGGCAGGTAGTCTAATAAAGATTGATACCATTCTTCATGACCCCTCGATCCTCCTCTCCCCACCCCCTCATCACGGAAACTCCTTTTGTGGACCTTCAACACTGCAGGAGTCCTGGGAGTGGAGTGGTCTATTTCTTTCATTAAGCTTTCATTTTCCAAAAACACATCATTCACGCTGTCATATATATCCCATCAAGATACTGGAGCATTTTTCTATTACATCCTTTTCCTGTTTTCAAGAACCAGGCTCAGCACGTCCTAGAACCTAAACTGATGTTTAAAACCTCCTTCGTTTCATTGAAATTAACAGCGTATAAATGCCAGCAACTGTTAACTTCCTCCTCTGAGGCTTCCAAGAGAATTTTTCTACCTACTATTTACTGCGTGTTTAAGGTGTACTTTACACACCCTTTATCATTTAATCCTCCCCAAAGTCCTATGAGATAAACATAATCATTGTCGGGAAACTGACAAAAACAGCTGAACCAGAAGATTATATTTGCATTTAAAGGATGGAGAAAGGATTCTGATAGGTCTAATTCTAATTATAGGCACTATCACTTTTCTTTTAAAGAATCCATGAAGTAACTTGCGTCAACCCCTCTTTTTAACAAAACTTCACGCGTGACAGATACGCGGTAACAGATGGGCAGGGAAAAACGGCTGGCGAGTTTTTCCGGCAGTAATTAGAGGACCTGCCAGCAGAACTCCGAGGGCCGGGACGTCGCCTCCGTGGGTTCGCGGGCCGAGAGCGCGGGGCTCACGTCGCTTTCCCGGGTCTGGGACGGATCCCGGCGGGGAGGCACCACGGCCAGGGCCGGGGACTGGGCCGCCCTGCTTCCCGCCCGGGCGCGCGACCAGGCCGACTCACCTGCGTGGCCGCCAGCCGCGACCGCACCTCCCGCATCAGGAAGGGCTCCAGGCCGCGGCCCGCGGTGCAGAAGAAGCGGGCGCCCGCTGCAGGCCCGGAGCGGCGACCGCCCGGCACCGCCGCCATGGCGGCTCGAGGTCACGTGGCCTCGGGTACGCGCGCCTCGGCGCAGCGAACCCGGAGGCGGCGCTCACGCGGCGGAGGGCCGGGTGTTGCCAAAGGCGAGCCGGGCAGGGAGGTCCCGGGAGGGTGCGATCGGCTGGGAAGGGCCATGTGGGTCTCCTAGGTTAACTGCTTGGAACCCCCTTGATTAGGCATCTGGAATTATTTACAGTCACAGGTGGAAGGGATATGATTGGGATATATAAAAAGGCTATATAGGGCTTCCCTGGTGGCGCAGTGGTTGAGAGTCCGCCTGCCAGTGCAGGGGACACGGGTTCGTGCCCCGGTCCGGGAAGATCCCACATGCCGCGGAGCGGCTGGGCCCGTGAGCCATGGCCGCTGAGCCTGCGCGTCCGGAGTCTGTGCTCCGCAACGGGAGAGGCCACAACAGTGAGAGGCCCGTGTACCGCAAAAAAGAAAAAAAAAGGATATATATATATACACACACATAGAGGGTGGCAGAGTTTATTTCAGAAAGAATATAGACTGCCATCGATCTGTTAGATCTTTAGCAGACATCATGACACATCTTTGCCTCTGATACTCACGGCCTCGCGGTGCTGAAGAAATGAATGATGATTATAGGGAAGCAACGTAAAATGTGGCAGACTATAGGGGCTAACTGATGTGATGCTTGAAATATCCATTAGATTTCACCCCAATTCTCTTCCCGAAGTGGATAAGATTACGGGTTTGTGCTAGTAGCGAGATGTGTGAATGAGAAATCCTATTCCAACTGATAAATTGTTGGTGAATAAAACAGATGAGTAACTTGTTAAAAATATTTTCAAATCAAATATTTTTTTAAGATGGGAAAATAAAGCCTTAAAAAATGATTTCTCTGTAACTGCTACGCTTTAAATGTCTATAACAAAGGAAGCTACCGCAGTAATAGGTCCTTCTCTTGTACCTCGGAGAAGACAGTTCATCAGAAGTCCATTGGAACTTGGATAAGAAGGCAAATAAGAGTACAGCAACGTGTACTCTTATTTTTAATCTTTGACTATAAGCATAATAAAAATAGGTAATAAAAATCAAGCATGATATGCATTAGCATAGTTTTAAAACAAATTATATCTCTGACATAACTTTTAAAAATAAAGGTGTGAAATATTTTTTTTTAGAAAGGAGATATAATATCATCTCATCCATCTGTCTTGTTTTTCAGATTGAGGAAGTTGATGCCTAGAGAGGCCAAGGGACAGTGAGTTAGTGGTGCAGCTGAGGCTGGAACCTAGCCGCCTTGGCATCTACTATACTGAGCTCTGTTCCATTCCTCCCAACTCCCTCCCCTCCTCTCCATCTCTCCCCACTACTCTTCTCATGTAAGGAGCCTGGTTCTGCCTTCACCAAGCATTGGGCTCAAACTGGGAATTCCTAGGCCCAAGAGTAGAACTTCCCGTGCTCCCACAAAATGTCTTTATGTTCATGAAACAGGTCACATTTCTTGCACTAAGTTAATCATTAGGGTAATGAATACACCATCCAGTTTGGGCCACCTGATTTGATTGACTCTCAACAGTATTTGAAGGGATTTGTTTTTAAACTATGAATTAAATTGACAATGAATATATTACTTGGGAAACATAGAAGCCATATTATAGTATGAACAGCATTAAATTAGCTCTGTAGTTATATGAATCAGATATATAGGAACTATTAAATGTGTATCTGTCTAGCCAGTACGTCTCACGCGCTTCAGAATGGGACACCAAGGTGAATAATGGACTTCCCTTCCCTCTGTCCCACCCCCTCCTCAGCTCATGGTCCACTAGGACAGTATTATGAAAAAAATTTTTTAATTATCTATTTATTTATTTTGGCTGTGTTGGGTCTGCGTTGCTATGTGCGGGCTTTCTCTAGTTGCAGTGAGTGGGGGCTACTCTTTGTTGCAGTGCACGGGGTTCTCATTGCAGTGGCTTCTCTTGTTGCGGAGCACGGGCTCTAGGCACACGGGCTTTAGTAGTTGCGGCATGTGGGCTCAGTAATTGTGGCGCACAAGCTTAGTTGCTCTGCGGCATGTGGAATCTTCCCGGACCAGGGATTGAACCTGTGTTCCCTGCATTGGCAGGCGGATTCTTAACCACTGCGCCACCAGAGAAGTCCGTGAAAATTGTTATGGAATCAGGTAACCTGGGCTTTTCAAAGCTTCAGTCCTAAAACTTCTTCTCAGACCCATGCATTTTGGTGAAATCTTTTTTTCCCTCCAGACTTATGTTCTTGTTCTATTGGCAGTTGCCATAGCTATTCCAACTCCTCTATACTTTGAGGCTGCTGACTCTCAAGTCTGTCTGGGGAAACCCACGAAACCTCCATAGTACTTCCTACATTCTGGACCCAAGATGGTAAGCACCCAGACATACGGTATCCCATTCAGTTCACCACGTACCAGACCCACTCCCTACCAGATGCCACACTAAGTCTTGAGGATACAAAGATGAGTAAGTAAGGGTCTGGACTTCAAGGGGCTCAGAGGATGGTGAGATTGATTTAGTGAGGACTACCCAGGATGCTGTGGCAGCACAAACAAACAGGCAGCAGGGAGAGTTTCCTGGAGAAAATCACTTCTACGCCAAGCCATGAAGGTTGTGTAAGAGTTAAATGACTCACTGGGGATGGGGGAGAGGGTGAGGGGTTGTAATCGTTGTGTAGAGTTTTGGGTAGAAGGAGCAGCAGATGCAAGTGTGTGTGTGTGTGTGTGTGTGTGTGTGTGTGTGTGTGTGTGAGAGAGAGAGAGACAGAGACAGAGACAGAGACAGAAGGCCACAGCGGCAGTTAGGTATTATAAGAGCATAAATTGTATGAGTTGAGGTCGATAGAGGTAAAGGTAGAAAGGTCGGTAGGGACCAGGTCACAGCAGTGCTGCCCAAGGCAGAAGAAGAAATAACTTCTCCAGCCTCAGGCTGGCCAGCAATATGCTCTCCTGGACAAAACCATGCCTGCACAGCCCATCTTCCTCTTACCTCCCCCGCTTTTCCCTTCTTCTGTTGTCTTTGCCTCTCCAGGAGCCTTTGGTCGGCAAGGTCAGGGGCCACTCTTGTTCCAGCTGGGGGGTCAAGTGCATTTTCACACCCTTGGACCCTGCTGCAGCACAGCCCTTCCGACAATGCCTTTCACACAATGCTTGAGATAAGATGAAACAGGTAGAGAGCTGCCTCTTTAGGGAGAAAACAATTGGTTTTTTGAGAGGAGACTTGCCTGGAATTCTCTCCCTATTATGCGAATGATTTTCCTCCATCATTTCTGTTTCTCATTCAAAAATGTCTCTACTGAAGAAGAACCACTGATCCCTATAGATGTTTAGCTTAGCCAGCTGTTTTGCTGATTGAATATTGCAGATTTAACACATAGGAAGTTGGCAGTTGGCACGAGCAATTTTAGAACAGACACACTTTTAATTGGGGGTGTTTTAGGAATTTAGGGCAAGGTTATTTGCTTCAAGGTCTCTCCCTATTTTGGTGCAATTGGCAATTCCTTTAGTTCTTAAAAGCATTTGATGTATGAACTTAGATATTAAAATTCAAATGCTTTAGACTACGAGATCCTTGAGGATGGGATGATGTCATTCATCTGGGCATCCGAGGAGAGTATGCTGGCTTGTGTATGGTGGGCCTTTGGTCAGTGAAGGCTGAATTGGATGGAATCGTGACTAAATGGAAGGCCACTCACTAAAGAAATCCCCCTCAGCTAGAAGGGATTGCTATCACCACCATATCAGTGGGGGCCTGTGTGAGTGAGACATGGAGATAAGAGTAGAGCACTGAGACCACTGAAGGGAATTCAGGGGACAGGAGGACCCCAAAGATAAACTTCTTTGCAACTTTGCCTGCTACTTCCCCCTGCCTCACCATTTCTCTAGCCTTCCCCCCCCCACTTTATAAATAACATTTCCTTACCAGGGATTCTCCTCAGAATGACTTGGGGAGTCATTTCAATATGTCGGGCTTGCCATCCCCCTCTCCCCTGTATTCTGGTACAGTTGAGTGGGGTTGGTGACAAGCTGGGGCCCTTCTCCCCAGGAAGGAACCATTGCTATATACCAACCAATTCAACTGCTGACTTCCCCCAAATGCCTGCTCTTTCCCCACTCGCCGCAGGCCTTCGCTTATACTGTTCCCTTTGTTTAGAACCCTCTTCTCTTCCCTTTCTTCTCTTTAAGGCTAAGCTAGAATGCCACATCTTCCGTGAAGCTCTTTTCCTGCCTTTACAACATAACATTTTATACATTTACCATTTATTTATTCATTCATAAATATTTATTGAGTCTATGGCAATGTATCAGTTGATATGACAAGGTCCCAGCCTTTGAGAATCTTTCAGTTTAATGGGAGGTAATGTGATGGTGCTGGATTGCCCAGAGAGACATATAAAGGATGACAATACAGTGTGATATATGGGAAGGAAAGGAGAGCAATTGGGCCTGGCATATAGTAAGCACTTTATAAACAAGATTGAACAAATGAATTTATTCTGAAGTTGAGTGAACACTTGTCACATCTGTGGCTTCTCAGCTCACTTTGAACGTCTTTGCCAAGTCAGGACATTCTCTGCCTTCAGAAACCCACCTCCTCAAGGTGGATATGTAGTTAGTAAGCCCCACGGAGGTATGATGAACTCTGTTCACATAGCCCAGCATAGTAATTTAAAAAGAGTAGGATTTTACAAAATTTTTAGAATTCAATTGAATTGTAGCATTGTGGTAAAACCTTAGATACAGACACAGAAGTCTGTTGCACACACACATTCCAACCAAGTCAGTGCAGGCTGTGAAAGAATCAATATATTTGTATGTCTGGAGTGGCAAAAGCAGTTTGGGGAAAAGCTCTTGGTCACATACTGATCATTTAAACCACTTACATGCACACAGTCATCATCATGCATGGTGCTTCTTTGAACGTACAGTCAAAAAAGAAAATTTAGCAGAAAATTATTGCATTGTGTATGTAAATACTGCTTTAAAGCATTATTTATTCATTAGTGTTCATATCACTGTAGTTTTAATT